AAAAGCTTGGCATTCAACTAGTAGAAGCACATCAAAGAAGCAGAATGTCTAACCCTAGACTGACAAGAGAGCTTAGAGGAAATATTCGAAAACTTCTGAAGGAACTTCTTCCTTCAGAAGTTTTCGAATATTCTGAGCCTCTATCCAAGAAGAGAAATTTTCAACAAGGAAGATGTTCAGAATGCCCTCGTGCAAAAGATAGAAAAACCAGATATGTTTGTGAAGCATGTGATAAGTTTATTTGCCTCATATTATATGCCTAATATGTGGTAACATATTGTAAAAATTGTAGTGACTTGAGTTCCACAGCATATGAATAAAATGGTATTATTATTTAATATTATTATTAATTAATTTACTTTACTTATGCTGGTTGCGCGAAATTTATCTTTCATTTTTCATACAAACCCAATGTAGGACAATAAACATTTTTTTTTACTATAAATTAAATTAATCGTTATTTGACATCATATCAACAACAAGTCCCACCAGAAATCTAAGAAATAAGTCCCAGAAATAACAAATAAATTCAAATAAACCGTTGTTTGAGTTGGGGTATATAGCACCCCACCTGTCACAAATTGTCACAAAAATTCACATGTCGGATGCCGGGTTAAGCTAGTGTGCACCATTTCCGACGTACCGGACGAACCTACCCGGCGCCGACCCGACCGCTGGCAACCGCCTTGTCGCCGGCTATGCCCACTGGAGCACTCGGTGCCGGATACCGGATGGTTCGTAGTAGTATGAGTATTTGTATTATAGCGTTCACATGTGCCGTGTCGGCAGTCTATATGGACAGCCGGTATTGCGATTTTTTAAATTTTCTAGTAGTCATTACAATGTCGCAAGAAATAGACATTGAAGTGTTGATTAGCTTGGTCGAAGCTCAGCCAGTGTTGTGGGACAAAACTATAGAAAAATACAAAAATAAAGTTTTGACGAAAAATGCGTGGAAAGACGTGTGCTGCGCGTTTGATCCAACATTTAACGATATGAATGATAATGAAAAAAACAAATTTGGTAAGTACTTATAAATCATATTTTTTTATTATTTTGTTAAATTTTTGACATTTGCCAACTGACTGATCCGACTTCTGACATAAAATAATCTGCATATATGTTTCTAATATCATTAGCTGCGGTTCCTCCACGTACTACAGTTGCTCCAGGTAATTCTGCCAGTCCAGTCACAGTAAACGTATCTTCAATTTTGTAACCATCTCTTTCCCGAACAAAATTGTGTAGAACAACGCAGGCTTTCACTATATTCACTGCAAAATCTGGTTTTAAATTTATTGCTCGATGAAATATTCTCCACTTGTTGGACAAAATACCAAATGTGCATTCTACATACCGTCTGGCTCGGCTTAAGCGGTAATTAAAAATCCTTTTGGTTATGGTAAGATTATGTCCACCGAAGGGTCGAAGAAAGTGCTGGTGTAGGGCAAATGCTTCGTCACCGACAAAACAATATGGGACTTCTTTATTCGTCATACCTGGAAGGAATTTTGCTTCGGGCAGTTCTTGTTCGCCATTTAAAATTGATTTCCATAGTGAGCAGTTCTTGAATATTGAGGAGTCGCAATCTTTTCCGTAACTTCCTACGTTGACATAAATAAATCGGTAATCGGACTCCGCAACAGCCATTAACACCACAGATGAATAATTTGTAATTATAATACGTAGATCCAACTGGGTTTACTATCCTAACATGTTTTCCATCAACTGCGCCTAAGCAATTAGGAAAATTTGCTCTTTTTTCAAAAGTGGAAGCGATACCTTCCCACTTTTGCTTTGTCGGTTCAGGTAGACATTCTAATCTTAGCACATTCCATATAGCTAAACACACATCTCTGACAATATTACTTATTGTTGTTAGGCCTAGTCTATAGGTATAATGTAGGTCAGTGAAGGTACAGCCACTCGCCAGATATCTGAAATAAAAAAAATTGTTTCAGGTAAAGATGTTCTGAAGAGATGGTCGAATATTCGCGACTCGTACATGAAATCGAAAAAAAAAAGTTAAAAGATGCCACAAAATCTGGCGCTGGCGCATTACACTTAAAAAAGTATGTCTATAATGATCAGCTAAAATTTTTAGACAAGGTTACTGAAGAGCGCTCAACTGAAGACAGTCTTCCGCACGAGAAGGATTCATCTGAGCAAAATGAAGGAACTGAGCCCCCTTTCAAAATACCAGGATATGATAATCGTTCTAAAATCATAAAAAAGACTAAAATTGATCCCGTTGAAGAGAAAATGCTACAGATACTGGGCCATAGTGAAGAAGAAAATCGACATTTATCATTCTTCAAAGGTATTATCTCCTCTCTGAGTTCTTTCGATGAAGATGACGTTAGACGACTTCAAATGGGCGTTCTTCAATTTATTTCGACTATTAAAAAAGAGAAATCATCAGCAACTGCGAAGTCCATGACAGGAAACGATAAATCACATGATTTCACATCACATTCACCAACTGAATCCCATTATGATGCATCACAGGGATATCCAGAGNACAAATTTGACTAATTTGCGGCAGGTCCGTCGCACGGTGACACGCTTATTGGAAAACAGCATGCTGCGTCTACACGCAGCGTTTTGACGCATCCGTCAGACGTGTGCGTTGACGCTTGCGGCAGGCGCGCTTAGGAAATCCCACCTTAAGCTAGTGTGCACTATTTCCGACGTACCGGACGAACCTACCCGGCACCGATCCGGCCGCTGGCAACCGCCTTGTCGCCGGCTATACCCACTGGAGCACTCGGAGCCGGGTACCGGATGGTTCGTAGTAGTATGAGTATTTGTATTATAGCGTTCACATGTGCCGTGTCGGTAGTCTATATGGATAGCCGGTATTGCGATTTTTTAAATTTTCTAGTAGTCATTACAATGTCGCAAGAAATAGACATTGAAGTGTTGATTAGTTTGGTCGAAGCTCAGCCGGTGTTGTGGGACAAAACTGTAGAAAAATACATAAATAAAGTTTTGACGAAAAATGCGTAGAAAGACGTGTGCTGCGCGCTTGATCCAACATTTAACGATATGAATGATAATGAAAAAAACAAATTTGGTAAGTACTTATAAATCATATTTTTTTATTTTGTTAAATTTTTGACATTTGCCAACTGACTGATCCGACTTCTGACATAAAATAATCTGCATATATGTTTCTAATATCATTAGCTGCGGTTCCTCCACGTACTACAGTTGCTCCAGGTAATTCTGCCAGTCCAGTCACAGTAAACGTATCGTCAATTTTGTAACCATCTCTTTTCCGAACAAAATTGTGTAGAACAACGCAGGCTTTCACTATATTCACTGCAAAATCTGGTTTTAAATTTATTGCTCGATGAAATATTCTCCACTTGTTGGACAAAATACCAAATGTGCATTCTACATACCGTCTGGCTCGGCTTAAGCGGTAATTAAAAATCCTTTTGGTTATGGTAAGATTATGTCCACCGAAGGGTCGAAGAAAGTGCTGGTGTAGGGCAAATGCTTCGTCACCGACAAAACAATATGGGAATCTTTATTCGTCATACCTGGAAGGAATTTTGCTTCGGGCACTTCTTGTTCGCCATTTAAAATTGATTTCCATAGTGAGCAGTTCTTGAATATTGAGGAGTCGCAATCTTTTCCGTAACTTCCTACGTTGACATAAATAAATCGGTAATCGGACTCCGCAACAGAATCTATTATNATAAGAACGGCGACTGCTTCAAATATATTTGTGAATCATTTCCTGGTCTCAGTATCGAGAAGTTAAAAGCAGGTATTTTTGACGGTCCCAAAATTCGCTCCCTTATTAAAAACCAAGATTTTAAAAACCATATGAATCAAGTTGAATCGGAAGCATGGTCAAGCTTCGTATTGGTTGTCGAAAATTTTTTAGGAAACCACAAAGCTGAAACACATTATGAATTGGTAGACAACATGCTTAAAAAATTCCAAAAACTGGGAGTTAACATGAGCGTGAAACTGCATTACTTGCACAGCCATTTAGACAAATTTCCAGATAATTTGGGTGACTACAGCGAAGAACAAGGGGAGCGGTTTCACCAAGATATCAAGATTATGGAAGAGAGATATAAAGGGCGGTGGGACCACCATATGATGGCGGATTATTGCTGGAATTTACAGAGAGATTGCCTTAATCAAAAACACAATAGAAAATCACACAGAAAACGATTTTCTTAAAAGTTATCGATATGTTTTTGTTTATTATAGTTAATTTTGTTTTATTTTTTGTTTTAAGTCGAATGGATAAATAATTTTAAAATATAGATTTCAACAATATTCTCTTTTCTCAAAATTTAATTTTCTGTATAAATTAATACTTTATCTCAAAAACTAGAGTCAATTCAACAAATAAATTACTATTTTTATATTCAGTGGACCAAAATGAACCAAAATTGACTAAGATATCTCATGCCGCAGAATCACTGTTTCTCTATGTTATACATATATAATTATGTAAATGTTTTAAGTTTATATTAAAAGTTTTAAGTTAAAAAATTTTTACTTACCTTATTGCTACTGCTAACATCTGCATAGGTTCAATGCAATCTCTCATAACTGTATCCTGGCGTTGTAAAACGTTCTTTAATTTGTGGTTTAACTCATGGAACGAAGCGATGGACATACGAAAATAGTTGAAGAATTTCTGGTCATGTTGTAATAATTCTTGGAATAAAGTATAAAATGCCCCCACAAGGAGTCTTTTTTGAACTATAGGGTGCACCCAATATAGTCTTTTCCTTTCCTTCTGAAGTCGACGACGACGACGTCTTCGGTAAAGAAGCAACATAGCAATAACACATTTGCGATTCCTAATCCCTGTTTTCGAGACTGAGCTGAACTGAGCAATTAAGGCCCACTTTTACCACCTCCTGTCATTCTAGCTGTTAGCATTACAGGAGGTTAGCGCGTAACATTAGGTTATCTCGAAAACGGCTNTATATTAAAAGTTTTAAGTTAAAAAATTTTTACTTACCTTATTGCTACTGCTAACATCTGCATAGGTTCAATGCAATCCCTCATAACTGTATCCTGGCGTTGTAAAACGTCCTTTAATTTGTGGTTTAACTCATGGAACGAAGCGATGGACATACGAAAATAGTTGAAGAATTTTTGGTCATGTTGTAATAATTCTTGGAATAAAGTATAAAATGCCCCCACAAGGAGTCTTTTTTGAACTATAGGGTGCACCCGATATAGTCTTTTCCTTTCCTTCTGAAGTCGACGACGACGACGTCTTCGGTAAAGAAACAACATAGCAATAACACATTTGCGATTCATAATCCCTGTTTTCGAGACTGAGCTAAACTGAGCAATTAAGGCCCACTTTTACCACCTCCTGTCATTCTAGCTGTTAGCATTACAGGAGGTTAGCGCGTAACATTAGGTTATCTCGAAAACGGCTTTTACCACTCCGACTTATGAGGAGGTTAAGTTTATTGCAAGGTTAGGAGATATATCTAGGGGAATTTTATGAAGACGGTTGGCCGAACGTATAAATGATCTAAAATTGGATTATTTGTAAATGTTTGTAAACAACTCTTTGACAAGTGACATTTCTTAGCGATTGTCGTTGTGTAGTTGTGATTAGAAAACTAGAATAAGAGAAAATGGCTATGGATTCCATTCAATCAATTTCAGGCGACAAAAAACGTCCGCGATCAATTAACTTTAAAATGGAAGAGGTCGATTTATTGATCGAATTGATCTCCGACCGAAAAAAAGTTATAGAAAATAAAAAAAGTGATACCGTCACCTGGAAAGAGAAACAAAATGTAAGTGTAGTATAAAACACAATTTTCAATTTCAATGTTATGGCGATTTATTGTATGCAGGTGTGGGAGGAGATAGCGGCGACGATGAGCGCTACAACGGGAGTAGCAAGAGACTCAAAATCGTTGCGCACAAAATATGAATTTTTAAAAAAAACCGTTCGCAAAAAATGTGCGGACATGAAACAGGAAAAAATGAAAACTGGTGGAGGTCCTTGTTCCGAAATACAACTCACACCTATCGAAGAAAAAATTAAAGGTAAATTTTAATGTACCTTTAAGGTTTAAACTATAAATATAGAATAGCCTCTGTTATTTGTTCATGTGGAATTTGTTCATTAATATGATTATGTTCTTTCTAGCTTTGATAATTTTGAGTGTAGACGGTATGAGGTCTATTTGTGATTCTGACGCAGTAAACAATTTTTTGTCGGAGATATCGTTAGCACCTGCTGATGTAGGTGCTAATATGTCTCTTACAGAACAAACATCTGCATCAGCAGGTGCTAGTTCTGAATAGGCCGGCAAAGAATTATTTATTGATACAGAATCACAAATAAACACACCCACCCCAGAGGAGGAAGTTAACAAAAATCAAAAAGAAAGTGATTGGAATGTTTGGACTCCCAAACAATTACGGAAGAGAAAGAGTAGTGTTTTAGAAAGTGGCAAACGAAAAGGTAGAGTTGAAATAAATACAGTAAGATTAGGAGAATTAATAAAAATAGTTTACAGGTGACAACAAAACAATTCACAACAGCTACAATGAATATATTGAAAAAAAAAAAGAACTGTGCAATTTAAAAATTGCTAATGAAAAAGAACGGCACCAATTAGAAATGGAGGTACTAAAATATAAATTAGAAATTAAAAAGAAAAAATTGGCCTCATTAGAAAAAAATTAGTTTTATTATTTTGTTACATTGTTTATTACTTATTGTAAATATATATGTTATCGCAAAGTTTCGAAATATTGTATCATTTCTGCCCTTTTATCACCAGCAATGTCATCACCATTTCTCTCCACTTCTATGTTGGGGTTATTATCGTCATCCTCATCCTCGGATGGTAACGGTTCTTCTTTTAATTTTTTTAACTAATTGGTTCTAATTGTTACCTTTCCGTCGCCACCCTCATTTCCAATCTTAAAACTTGGAATCGTCTCTTCCAAACCCCATACTGCCGTTCTACGACATTTCGGGTCCTTATTTGAGCTTCATTATAGAGACGCTCTGCCTCTGTCCTTGGTGCGACAAGGGGAGTTAACAAATAATTTCTAAAATGGAACAGTTCATTTACTATGTTTATTATAATTCTCTTACAGTGTGAACTTACGTATTGCGATACCCACTGTCCCCAAGCAATATACCGTTTCCAAAATGGCCCTGTTCAAACCTGTTGCGTATACTGCTATTATTAAAAATAGTTTGATCGTGCGTGGATCCAGGCCATCTAGCCACTATATCTAAAATTTTCAGATTTGCGTCCGATACCGTCTGTACATTAAAGGAAAAATAGCCTTTTCTATTCCTAAAATTTTCTGCTTGGTCTCCACCTAAAATATAACATAAGAAATGTTTGATATACATTGGTATATCATATTTCTAACAATACCTGGCGATTGAATTCGTACATGCGTACAATCGATGGTGCCAATAACCAAAGGAAATCGAGCAATGTTATAAAAGTTTCTTTGCGCTTTTCCAATGTCGTCACCCTCCGGCATTTTGCAGTATTGGGGTCTTAAATTGGCAATGGCTATTGCCACCAACTTCACTATTTGGGATGCTGCAGCTTCACTGACCCCACAAAAATCAGCCACAGCCAGCAACATATTACCCGTAGCAAAAAATCTTAATGTTAATAATAACCGGTTTGAGGCAAATATTGCTGAATTTCTAGAAAATAATATCTTTAATTTTACAAATGATACCAAATTATACAATATACAATACCTTTCTGTTCGTGGTTTAATGTTTTCTTCAACCTCTGACAACAACCGATGAAAACATTCTTTGGAAAGGCGGAACCTCTTTACGAATTCGGCGTCAGATAAATGATGAACATGATCGATTTTTTCTTTCATGACTCGGCCACCACGAATAGGAAATAATTCGTTAATTTCTTCCAAATCCTCAATCATCTCTTCGTCACTGCTACTTTCACGTTCAAAATCCATTTCAATACAAACACAACCACCGCTCGTTTCTTTTAGGTTATGAATTTGACACACGTGTGTTGTTTGAACGGTACGCCACCTCGCGGAAATAGTTGTATCACTTTTAACCTACCGGTCAGACCGATAACAGGCACCCAAAGAGGCTGTCAATGTTACGCCAAAAATAACCGGTAGGTCAACGCTAACAGTAACCTAAAAACGGTGGTAAAAGACGATTTTTGACATAACATGAGGTTAAAGATAACAGCAAGAATAACAGGAGGTGGTAAAAGTGGGCCTTAAGAACACGACCGGATCGGTAGAAAATCGGCTAGGTGTAAAGGGTTATAAACCGGCGCCGGTCCGGCACCGGACGCATCCATCAGGCACGTGTAAAGCTACTCTTAGGCCCCTCGCCCACGGCGACTTTTTGTAGTGATTCGTAAACGCGCGACAGCATCGCTACTAACGCGCGTTAGTCGCATTTGCAACGCGCGTTGGTCGCATTTGCATGCGCTACAGACAGGTCCAGAGTGCTGTTGTCCGTCACGTGCGTAAAATGGAGTCGTTCGACACAGAAACATTTATTATGGCAATTCAAACCCGTCCTGTAATATGGGACTCGCGCCTTCCTGAGTATTTGAATAAGGTTGCAAAAAGAAAGGCATGGGAAGAGATAAATGAAATATTCATTCAGAATTTGGAAAAAAAACGAATATAGAAAAGAATGCTTGTGGTAAGTTATTTAATTTAATGAAATGAAAATATTTTATCATTATACATGTAAATGTTCCAGAATGAGTGAATCAAGATACGTTTACAGCTTTTTCTATTGAATTAGATTTCATGAATTAGGTTAGACTATTTCAAATTTTTGAATCTTGCCACGGTACAGAACCTTCATCACCGGTTAAATAATCAGTATAAATGTTTCGGATTGCAGTACCAAATAGTTCTGATCTTCGTCTTCCAATTGAATGTAAATTATCACTGGCAGGTGGGTGGATCTTGGAACCCAACTATACTCAAAGTGTGATCAAACTTATACCCATCTCGCTTACGTATGAAATTGTGTAATACGCAACACGCTTTAACAATATTCGTAGCAAAATCAATATTAACGTTTATGGGCCGGTTGAAAATTTTAAATTTGTTACTCAATATACCAAACGTACATTCAACATAACGCCTTGCGCGCCTCAAGCGGTAATTGTATATTCTCTTATTTCGTGGTAAATGTTTACCAGCGTATGGTCTTTACAAATGTTGTGATAAGGCAAATCCTTCATCACCAATAAACGAAAACGGTATAGGTATTCCATTGTTAAATATAGGTCTTGGTTGAGGTATATTATAATTTCCTTGTCGTAACTTTTTTACCCATTCACTGCTGTCATGTATTGTTGAATCTGAGCTCTTTCCATAGCATCCGACATCTATATCTATGAAATTGTAATTAGCGTCACATATTGCTAGCAACACGATAGAAAAAAAATGTTTATAATTGTAATATTCTGAGCCGGTATGACATGGTTTTTTATGACACGTATTTCTACGTGTCAACTCTGGTTTTACAATGGAAAGCAATTCACGAAACGTCGAATATGACATTCTATAACAACTTCTGAATTTATGCTCATAGTTTTTTAGTATTTTAAACGTTGTTAATAAATATGTTAATAATTAATAAATATGTGATTGGTTTTAGATACCAGAGACTATTACATACTGCTGTTGTTACACGCTATTTTACAACCACCACGTTTATGTAGGACGTACAAACCCCCCATAACAGATTCACAACAGGATTTTGCATTAAGTGATAATACTATAAATGATACTGAACCAAAAATTGGTAATTTAAGGACCTCTTACAGCAAGAGAAACATTAAGATACAACCACATATTGTAGTGGTAGGTACAGAGAATTTAAAAGAATTTTGTGTTTATAGTTGTTGTTAAGTTAGGGAGTTTTGGACAATATATTTATTTTGAGTGTTAAGAGGTTGATAATGCTTGGTTATATACAAATTTTAAAACCCGCAATATATCATTCCTATAAAGTAAACCTCATTCACGAGCAATGACGATGAAGACTTTGTCAAAAGAATAATTTTTGCGACGAGGGAACATTTACCTTGAGTGGACAAGTAAATAGACAAAATTGTCGGTATTGGGCTACCTAAATCCGAATTAGCAAAGAATAATGCATCGAACACATGTATGGGAGCTGTTTTACACAAACCATTAATGGAAAATCTCAATCATTAGCATTCTTTTCCAAAAAATTTACTTCATGTCAAACCAAATATTCAACTTTTCATAGAGAACTATTAGCAATCTACTCTGCCATCAAATTTTTCAAATATTCCTTACATGGAAATTACGATACATTCGATACATCATGTTACGATCTTATCGTATTTTTCGACCATTTCGTATGAATAGCATTGTTTCAATTGTTTTGAAATAAAACTATATAAGTAGGTGAAGCTGAATACTATATAAATGTATAGTTTTTAAGGTAACCGAATTAAATTCTGATTATTTATTTTTTATTATAATTAGGTCCGCCATTGAACTAGGTAACTTCAATTATTAATTTCCTAAACATTACTATTATAAATTTTTTTTAGAAGTAATAAATATTTTGGTTTAGTATTGAAAATGGTTTTAAATAAAAAAAAACATAACAAAAAATACATAGGTATTTTATTTTTAAATTACGACTGATTTCTTGTTTTGAACGGTTTATTTGTATAGGATAATTGTGTTTTTGGTGACACAAACCTTTTGCTAACAAAAGTTTGTTTTGGTATTTCGGTCCTTTAGTTTAGTTCGTTCGTTTCGTTCGTCGTATCCACTCCAAAGAAAGTATAGTTCGTTGAATAGTTTAGTTTAGTGTATAGATTTAGTGTTTAATTAGTGATTAGTTATTTAAGTTTGAGACAGTGACTTTATAAAAATATTGTATGTAAAATATGGGTAAAACTAAAACGCCGTATTCCAAACTGAAATCAAAAAAGAAGCGTGCAAAGTAAATCTTTATCATACTCTTGATTTATTATAATTTCTCATAAGCCGATAGTACATGTTGATGACATTTTTCTTCGCACATTTGTAGAATTATTCAATCACATAGTGAGTCAATAGAAATCGCTGTAGCTGAGAATGTTGCTATTGATTTTGGGTATGTGAATATTATATGATACAAATAATTATGAGAATTAACTACATATAACATATTTTACAGAATAGATCAGTTTATTCCAAATCAACCCTCCCCACAATTACCAATAAACACTTCTCCCATTTTAGAATTATTACATGATAATGTACAGGTCAACAAGTAAGTAATCAATAAAATCAGGGTAATAAAAACATAGAGATCGCATATTTTAATAGGAGAATTATTTTTATAGTACAATGCCGACTGGTCACCGTATTGTGGATGTGGGTTACATAATAAAGCAACTAATTGAACATAAACACGTTGCGTACTGTACTGTAGCAAATTTGCAGTTTGTTAAAGAAAATAGAGACGGCTTTTCAAGCATTTTCTTATATGAATGTAGTATGTGTAAATCACAATTAGAAAACTACTCTGAAAATCCTTTTATGCAACCTAATGTTAATGGCGGCTGTTGCTGGTACTATTATGTCTGGAAATGGTTTCCAACAACTGAGTGAAATAACAGCTTCATTCAACATACCAGCTATATCTAAGCGTCTATATTATAAACATCAAGAAGATTTACACACAGTTGTTGGAGAATGTACTTGGAGTGAAATAGAAAAAGCTGGCAAAGAAGAAGTACAATTAGCAAAGAATAATGGCGACATAGATAAATTTGGTGTTCCATTATTAACGGTTATTGTTGATGGTGCTTGGTCCAAACGCTCCTATAAGACTAATTATAATGCTTTTTCTGGTGTAGTATGTATAACAACTTGTATCATTATAAAATGATTGAGTCAATCCTGTTCATTCTTAGGCCTGCATAATAGGGATGCGAACAAAAAAAAAAATCTATTTAGGAATACGAAATAAATTTTGTATTATATGCGAAAGAGCAACCGCTCTAAATATTGAAGCTAAATCCCACGCATGTTACAAAAATTTTAATGGGCCTTCTACAGGAATGGAAGCATCTATCATTGCAGAGGGCTTCAAAAAGAGCATGGAGATGCATGGTGCTAAATATAATAAATTGGTAGGAGATGGGGACAGCAGTGTATACCGAAAATTACTAGATGTAAGGCCCTACGGGAACCAATTAGTATAAAAGATTGAATGCTCTAATCACCTATTGTGGAATTATTGCATAAGATTAAAAGAAATAAGTGAACGAAAATTCAGTTCGCGCGGTACGTACGTTCCTGTTCAACTAAGGAAGTTATCTTAGGCTTATCTTAGGCTTCGAACGGCTGCTCTATCTGCTGCTAAATATAGGGCACTCCATAAAAATGTAAGACTCTTATCGCAAGACCCTGGAAGTAGTGTACATCATGTATTTGGCGATCATTCCAATTGCGAAACATACTTTTGTAAACATACTTTTGTATGATGACATCAATTCATTCGTGAACCGTCTAATTTTTAATGCACACAGTTTATTAATAAATATGTCGACAAATGTGGCGGAATGTTACAATTCTGTTATCGCAAAATATGTGGCAGGTAAACGAATTAATTATTGTAGAAGATTTGGTTACAATTTGAGGTGTAATGTAGCAGCTATCTCATACAACACCAAAGGAGAAGCAATTAGAAGTATCCATAAAAAATTATCTGGAAATAATTTAGGAGTATACACTCAAAGATACTCCGAATTAAATTCAGGGCGTGTTTCTAAACGTAAAATTTTGCGAAAGAGACGTAAAGTAGCAGTGCAAGCAGCTGATGAAAATTATGGTTTAGATGAATTGATACCAGATATGTCGCCCGCTAAATACGCCGCTAAAAAAGAAGCGTTTTTAAGAAATATTTACAAACCGGAAGACGAGTTAGCGGAAATAGAAATTAGGACAGCGGGACAGGCCAATAGTCAGCTTTGGTACGAGGAAAGAAGTAAGCGGCTCACAGCTTCCAACTTCGGAAGAATTTGTAAGAAGAGGGAGAGTACTAATCCATCAAATATTGTCAAATATTTAATTTACCAATCCTTTCATCCGACAATAGCAATGCAATATGGCATTGAAAAAGAACCCATTGCTAGGCAACAGCTTGAAAACGAACTACAAGTAAATGTTTTGCCGTGTGGTTTGTTTATTCATAAGACGGACTGTTATTTAGCTGCATCACCAGATGGGCTAATAGGGGAGGATTTCTTGTGTGAAATCAAATGTCCCTTTTCAGCAAGGAAATTAACGCCAAGAGCGGCANGCCACAGGCAACACTAGGAGTTTAACCATTAGAAATAAAACACCCTAGATATGATAATAAAAATAAAGATTCAACCGTTTCTTGATGTTGGTCTATTAAAATTTTTGTTCCTATAACCTCGCATTGAAAGAGTAAGGACCTTTTTGGTATTTCTTACTCCCAATTATCTATTTGTAAATTAATTTGGCTATTATTTTGTACAATTGTGTACATTTTACAACTATGTACAATTTATCGGTAAATTTGTTGTCAATATTTGTTACAAATCACTATTTGTCTTTACGGTACAATACCGCCCCTTACGCCACTTACTATTTCCCTCTTTTTCTTTATTCTCCATAGAAAACGGGTAATATAAACACATTCAATTCAAACGGACTGCTTGGTCAAAAGATAAATAGATTGAGAACAGCAAAAAATCGATATCTGTAAGGGACGGGCATATGGAGAAATAAGTTCCGTCTTCTTGCTTCCGAAAGTCCGTCTCCTGGGCCCCTCAGAAACTCTGTGACCGTGAGACTACAGCCTTAAGGCAAAGCCTTAAAATATGGAATATCAGATTAATGCTTATCTAAGGATATTTGCCTGCAGAAAAATGTATTGATCTTGTCGAAACAAAACTCGTGCGATTTAAGTTAAACTTAAAAAATGACATTGTTTCGATCACAAAGGTGGAGCCAGTAAATGTAGTATGATTAAACAACAAACCCATAATCGGCGCTGATTTTTAATCCTTACGGAATCTTGGTTGATATCAAAAATGAAAGGTTAATTGTTTCATCAACTAACTTTTTCTCCATTATCAAAAATTGTATTCCATCACCAAACATTTTTTCACAACGTTTTTTAGCGAGCTGTGGAAGCAGCTACAATTCAAAATAAAAAAATAGAACTTCAATTGTTATTATTAATAAAACAATAATTGGTTGTAAACACAATTTATAAAAAGACGCAAATAAAAAATTTAGAATTATCTATTTATTTTTATTTATGTTGGTACTCACAAGCCACACACACCTACCTAGTTTATGCCACTAATGCCCGGGATACACGAGGCTAGTTTTGTAAGCTAGGATAGCAAGCTAGGTAAGCTAGATAACTGTCCTGGCTTGCTGTCCTCGCTTGGAAGATGCTAGTGCTGTTTACATGATGCCAGTAATTTTAACCCAGCCAAGCCAGTACCATTGCAGACGGTTGACGGTATTGACGGTACAAAACGTCCGTGAAGTAAAATGAACTGCATTCGTAAGAAAAACACAATACGACTGAAACAGTTACTTCGGAAACTA